GCGCGTGGGGCTCGGGGTCGGGATTGCGGTGCATGAGCGGCGGCGCGCAGGCGGAACGTGGAGGCAGGAGGCTGAGGGGGCCAGTCGTGCGCGGGCATGGACTTCCTGCGGACCCTTTGGGGCCAGGTCCCAGGAACAGGGGTCCTCTACGCTCCTCCTATCCCCACCACCCTCTAACCTCTGCAAACAGCTCTTAGGAGCCTTCCCACCGGAGAACCCCTGTTTCTGGACCCTGGCTCTGCTCCTGAACCTCCACATGGAACCCGGTTGAACGTCCCATCTTCGGGGCAGGCCCCTTCAGGTCCCCCAACACCTCTAATGTCATGATTTCGTGGGTGGTGTATGCTGTAGGATTGGGTTTAAAATTAGGTAGTGGAGGTAACAGTTGTATAAGTTAGCAAGTTAGCGCCCTGTGGGCTGTTCTGTCTTTTTTTTTACAATCTACCTACTAGTGGGAATCAACTCTAATGCAGTGGGTTTGGTTTTGGCTGGGGTGGTAGTTAAGGCTGTGTGTCAGGTTGGCTGGGCCTGGTTGTGAGTGGCTGGGCGGCTGGATGAGAACGGTCATCAACTCCATGGTGGAATCTGCTGGACCAGCTGAGTAGCTGCCTTAGGGATGTGGGCTGCTGCCGGTATATAAGGAGACAGCTTTGAGAATGGTCTCTGAGCTTTTTGGCACGCTTGGACCCTGCATGTAGCCAAGTCTTCACTTAGCAGCCTGCCATGTTGCCTTACAATCTTGGGACTGTTAATGGACTTGAACTAGTGGCCTGCCATGTTGCTTGATAATCTCGGGGCTGTGCCATTTCACTTGTCGACCCTGGGTCTGTCAGCCTCCGCAGCCAGCAGCTGCCTGAGTCAGGAGAAGCCTCCAGCTCCAGTGGGCCGGGAGCAAGAGGCAGAGCTGAAGCCCAAGTTGAGGGGCCTTCACTCAGCCCCTAGGGCTAGCACTTTGAACCTGGACTTCTGGCCTCCAAAACTGTGAGAATAAATCCCTGTTTGTTAAAACCCACTTGTGGTATGTCTGTTAGAGCAGCACTAGGGGACTGAGACGCTTGGACAGATTGCTGCCTGTCACCAGATGTGTGCCTGTCCGGAGTACGGCGGAGAGGCCTTGGACACACTCGCCATGTCTGACTTAACCCTTCTTCTGTGGATGTCCCCCACTCCCTACTTCTACAAACACCTCAGAACTAGGTATTACCTGGCTTTCAAATTTTTTGCTAAGTTGACGACTGTAACATAGGATCTCATTGTGTTCGGATGCATTTTTTTTTTCCCAGATGAGGTTTTTTTTTTTGTTTTAATTGTGATGTGTGTGAAAGTTCATGGAACAAATTCATTTCCTAAACAGTAGTTCATACACAGTTAGTTTCATGACATCGACTTCTTGTTGTTAGGTGCCGTTGAGTCGTCTCTGACACAACCCCGTGGACAACAGAACGACACGCCGTCCGGTCTGCGCCAGCCTCACAATCCCAGCTATTCCTGAGCCCACCGCTGCAGATGGGACTGTGTCAGTCCATCGCGTTGAGGGCCCTCCCCTTTTTCATTGACCCTCCAAACATGACATCCTTCTCCAGGGAATGGTTC